TTTCCGTACGGGACTCGCCGATTCACTGTTCGGACTCGCCGATTCCGTACAATGAATCGGTGAGTCACTGTACAGAATCGTCCGGTTCTCTCTAGAACCAGACGATTTCCGATTTTTTAGCCGATACAATCCACTTTTTGCGACTCGGCGTTTTTTAAAACACTGGTTTAGTGGAATAGCCGTTTATGAAGTCAAAGTATGCCTAGATGAGAGCCGAGGGACTGTGTGGCTCTTGCATATGATGAATAGCCTATATAGACGTGGTTAAAAACCTCATCGTTATATCATCATACAACATGTACATAGATAATTATATTGAGATTCACCAATTGGGGTAGATAGTCGTATTGAGATTCACCAATTAGGGTAAAGCATGTATATGTGCGAGAGATGACCTTTATATACCATAGAGTCATGGTTGCATCATGGTTTGGAGGCCCATGATTTGTTTGCCTCTAGGGGAGAACCTGAAATCCATATACTGAGATTGCGACCCTTAATCTATTGGCTGACATTGGTGGTCCAATCATGAGCCCTTGTAGTGGACTGTGAGTCATATGAGCTGCTGAGTCAGTTTGAGAACACTAGGTACATCGTGGTTCAATCCCCGTCAAAATTAATTAGTTTTAATTAACTTTTTGATATATAAGTTTTAAAATGTTTATTTAAATTTTTTGTAAATCTTCAGATACTTTATTTTTTTCATTTAGATTTATAAATTAAGAAAAATTAATTTTTTAATGTTTTAAATAAAATATAATATTTAAAAAATAAAATATTTTCTAAAATTGTAAGGGACCCTCCATAAATATAGTGCCCAATTTAAAACATGTGGGATTGAGTGGGCCACGTGTGGCCACCAAAGGGTGACACGCCCCACCCATAGGGAGTAACTTTCTCCAAGATTCGGTGATAGTTATCCCCTTGTTTGTTTGATTTTCTTTTAGTATAGACAACTTGCCTAATAAGATTAAATATTTGAAATATTTGATAAATCTTTGAATCAAGATTACTTAATCCAATAAATAAGGATTTGATATACTAAAATAGATCCAAGAAATAAGGATTGGATATACTAAAATAGATCCAAGAAATAATGATTGGATATAATAAAATAGAAAGTAATACTTTCTTTATTTAAATATTTGATGGGAATAAATCTAGGAAAGGGAGAATAACGCTTTAGCTTATCTCTTTGAATCTTGATGGTGGATCAAAGAGATGAATGACTCAAATCTCTCACCCCACAAGTCTCTCTAGATCGACGGTCAAGATTTGACACTACGAATTGAGGCAAGGCATAAAAATCTACAAAAATAGGATCTCCCACCTCAAAATCTCTACACTTATTGTCTCTCTATAGGCCGCACCCTCCATGTAGGGCTTCAAGATCTCTCACAAGATTTCTCTCCCAAGATTTCTCCAAGATTTTTAGGGGGCACGCCCCAACCAAAATCTCTCTCAAGCTTTAAGATCTCTCACAAGATTTCTTTCCCAAGATTTTTACTGGGCAGGCCCTAACCAAAATCTCTCTCAAGCCAAAGGGGCACATCCAAATATCTCTCTCAAGCCAAGGGGCATGCCCAAGTCATCTCTCTCAAATATCTCTCTCATGCGAAAGGGGCATGCCCAAGTCATCTCTCTCAAATATCTCTCTCATGCGAAGGGGGCATGCTCAAGTCATCTCTCTCAAGCAAATGGGGCATGTCCAAGTCATCTCTCTCGTTTCTAAATATCTCTCTCAAGCTAAGGGGGCATGCCCAAGTCATCTATCTCTTTTCTAAATATCTCTTCCTAGCCAACCGGGCATGCCCAAGTCATCTCTCAAAATCTCTCTCAAGCCAAGGGGCATGCCGAAGTCATCTCTTTCGTTTCCAAGTGGCACATCAAGCTAAGGTTGGCACACCCAAGCTAAAGTTAGATTGTGGTGGTTTGATTTTTGGGGCCCAAGCTAAGGTTAGTTTGTAGTGATTTGATTTTTTTGTAGCAAAGAGAATCATCCCTTCTAGTAGATCTCTCCCTTTGTCTTTGATCGATATCTCATATCTCTAAAGATCAAGCTAAAGGGGCGAGATCCATATGCTGTTGAGAGGGTTTTGCCATATATAGGAGAATCAAGAGACCGATATCACGAGCACTATCGGAAGGAGGAGACGGGTGTACTAAGCTCGGTTGATATAATCTCAAGCAATTTTACTTCTTTAAATCTTTATTTGTGATTTATATTTCTCTTCCCATAAAGCAATAAGTCTTCTTTTGATTCTTGAATAAAGAGTTGTATTTGAAGAGGTAGCAATTGGGAACCGGTGTTTATTTGAATAAGTCATGTTTTGATTATTGAATAAAGAGTTGAATTTGAAGATGTAGCAATTGAGAATTGGTTTTTATTTTTTTCAAGAGTGGTTTCTTTGTAATTGGACATTGTAAGTGATCGTGCCGGTGTAAAAAAATAAAAAAAAATTTAAATATATACACCATGATTAATGACGTAGTCCAACTTTCACGCTATATATAGAGGAAAAAACAATGAGTTACTCTTCCGCAAACTGTTATATTTGAAAGTACACTTTACTTTGATGATTTTTGAAGAAGGTACGCTTTACTTTGATTGTTTAGAGCTCGTCTCCATACAAACCAAACCCATTTAATATTATTCGTTATTTATTTGTAAATAATTTATTATCGGTTGGGAACCGCAGGGTGCTGTTATTGACGGCTTCCTTTTGTGTTTCCTCCAATTTTTTAATATTTTTTCTTTACATGTCATTCTCCTCCTCTTTAAAATAAAAATGGTCAATCTCTTGAACGAAGCAGAAGAGTTTTCGTCTTTTCTTTTGGGTAGAGAAAAGTCTTCATCCTTCTCACAGCTTCTGCAAAATTCGTGCCTTTGCTGCTTTTTCAGGTCGAGAATCGTGACACCATGGAATATTCGTGTCGCCGGAATTTGTGATTTTTCGGCATGGGAGTCGACGGAATCCGTCTCCTAACTGTTGTTGCCATCTCTGGTGGGGTGCTCCTTTTGGCTCTTGGACGCCGGAAATTTCTACGGCCGCAGGGAGAGCAAGAAGAAGGGCACCACCACAATTTGAAGAGTAATTTAAGAGAGGCGGCCTTTGTAGGAAGAAGAAGTTCAGGTTCAGGTGACGCCGTTATCTCTCTGTACTATTGAATTTGATTCGATGCTTTTGTTGTTTGGAATTTCAGACCCGTTAAATGCAGTTGTGTATTTAACGGCGTTAATTCCTATAATCCAATTCAGAGAGGGGCCCCTGATATTAAAAACAAACTGATTTTTTCGTTTAATTATTTCTCGGGTGTTAAATTGTTTGCAATGAAAAGCGATATTATCATTTATCCAAAGGATGAACAAGAAGTCAAGTTCCACCCAATTTTCGTGATCGGTACTTTTTCAAAATTATCAAGCAAAGATCACGTATTTTATGGTCCCGAGGGAGCATAGTTTACTTCTACTCCCTCGGTTGATGACCTATATGGTATGAGTTTTTGAATCTGATATTTTGATAACCACTTTAGAATCACTTGATGATTATTAAAAAAATTATTTAAAGTTTGAGTTTCTAAAATTTAGATCTCACCTCTACAAATTGGACGTTATTCAATTGTGACACATTATTTTTTTCAATTGTTTAGAAATTATTTTATTGAGGTTAATCTATGTGTCGAAGAGGTTATATTCCGAAAAATTTGGAACCCTAAATTTAATCGTGGGGGCTTTATCCGAGGAAATAAATGGACAATATACTCCCGATGGAGTAGAGCATCTTTTGGGCTAACCAAAAAAAATGAATTAGTAAGAATTGTGGCTTTTGAAAATTAAAACAAATTTGCCGTGATCATTGCGGTTACTTTATGATTTTTTTTTTATCGTTTGGCCTGCTTTCCCTCAGTAATGTCAGCAAGGACAAATGGAATATTCGAGCTCTATTCTTGAGGATTCTGGAGCGTCTTTAAAAAGTTGGAAAAAGTTTATGTGTGGGTGAGGCCCTAAACAGTCAAATTAAGGCCTATATCAAAATTTCACTAGAAGTGGTGATTCGATGCTTAAAACACCTCAAAATTGATCATCTCGACCTCAAGATGTATGAACATGAGGTAAAATAGATTTCAAGAGTGCATCTTGTAATACATTTCAAACTATTGATTTTCAATATTTTCAAGTGTTTATAGATCCTCTCCATCTACACTATTTGTGAAGTTTTAAATTTATAATTAGATATAAAAATAAACTTTTAGACTATCACAAATACTTCCAATATTGAAACCGATAATATTTGAAGGTGTGCTTTATTTTGATTGTTTAGAGCCTCGGCCTTAAACAAACCACACGTCGCCCTTTTTCATAAGTACTTAAACTTTGGTTAATGGGGAAATTGCTCATGAATGTTCCTATTATTAAAAAAATTTGTGGTTCCTTCACTTTCAAGAATTGGCCAATTTTGTACCAGCGATGACATTATTTTTCCTATCGCCGTGCGTCACCTTGAAATGGCTATGTCCTTCCAGCAAACACAACATTTTCAAACTTTCTAAGAGGCCCTCAATTTTGTACAAGGTACTAAGACAATTCAATTTTAAAACTTGAGCAATCGTAAAAGGGTGAGTACACAACCGAAAATATTCAAACTTAATAAGCCCTTCACCTTCGCATTGGGTGAGGGATATAAATATTTTTAGTGTTTGGGGTTATTACGAGGGTGAGGTTCATTATACCTCTAGTTTTGTCGGTAGTTTAGGAGCTAGAAATTTTTCAATGGTCTATCAAATTTAAAATTTTAAAAATAATGCAGATTGAGCAGATCTATAAATATTTCAAAATTTTAAAAATCGACGGTTCAGATAATTTGTATCACGATATATCCTATTTTTAGGACTTTATACATCTTGAAGTTGATAAGGCAAATTAATTAGAAGGTTTTTCAACTTACAATCATTTCTTCATAACTAGATTTTGAGATGTACTTTACTTCTACATTCTAGGTACATTATAGGGTTTCAATATTATATAAAAGGTGTGGTTTCTATAATATTGCAACCTTCAACAATCCAATTAAGGTGAATCTCAAAATTTTATCATAACATGTAATTTTGGTGTAAAAAATACTTAAAATTATCTTAAAATCTATTTTCATATGTACTTATAAAATTTTAAACTCCAAAATCAAGTAGATTGATAAACATATGAAAATCTTGAAATTGGATGATCTAGTTTGATGTCTAGATGATCAATTAGAGGGTTTTTCAACATTAAAACAACATTGTCCGTTGGATTTTGATGAACATCTTACATTTTAAGATTGCAACTTTATATAAACTTTTTCCTTATAAATAAATTTTCTCATTACTAATAATGCAAATCCGTTTTTGTTAGGGATTAGGTAAGAAGAAGAGGGTGAGGTTTTCGGAGGACGTTAAGGAACCGTCAGGTAACAATGTGGAGTACAGGAGACGTCATGTTCACGCTTCAAACGGGGTTAGGAATCGAGAGAGGGTCAATGGGGGCGTCAAGCACGTGCCAATAACGAACGCGTGTAAGCAGAATCTGCTATCCAATCGTGCGGCTCTCTATCACGGGCAGTCACAATACCGCTCCCAAATGGCCACACTAATGATCTACGCCTAGGCCCTCTCCTGTTTCTCTCCCTGGGTTTCCATCCTAATCATATCTCTTTTTTTTTTGTCGCCCTATTTGTACATAACTTTTTTCAAATTCGGGCATCGGTGGTTGCAGGTCTACAATTCCAACCATTTATGCTCGTGATCTATTTTGTTTTTGTTTTTTTTTTTTCACTTATTTTTTTGAAACACTTCCCCTCACGTGCCCCAATCTTACTCCCACATAACACTCTCTCTTTTATATACATATTTTATTTTTTCATTTGATGTTAGGAAAAGAGAGTTGACCCTCTCATTCTCTCTTTTACTATGTATAGAATTTACATCAAATTTAACGGGACAATAATTATGTCATATATTTTGCAGAAGGAAAATTTTCCATGAGTCAGCAAGTGCAAGAGCCCGCTGACCTTTCAATATCCATCTTTAAGATGGACCAAGATGGACATTTTGTAAAACTCACGGGTCAAATTAAATACGGACGAAGTAAAAAAATCTCCAAAAACAAGTGCATTTTAAATTTTTTTTTTTTTATATTTATGATGGGCTTGGCTTAGATGATGAATCCCTAAAATTGTAGATCAAAAATCCATTTTTAAGATGAATTTTAGAGGGAGGCAGCATGTGTACATATGAGTGGGCTGAGTCATAAAAACCACATCCTTTGTAGAAAGTAACATTGAATCTCACGGCCTCCCGCACCCTAAAATATCTATTTTTGGCGTTCCAAGTAAGGTAATATCGTGGAACATGCACCGCAATCATTTGAAGAGGAGGAAAACCGACCAAAGTGATTTTTGTGCCATTTTGTAATTGAGATTTTTTTTTTTTGGATAATTCAGTGAGAATGACAGGCCCTTACCTATTTTTTTTAAATAAATTAGTTTTTTAAAAGTGTTAATGAGGTAGTGTTTATGGGGAGAATGTAAACCACAAGGTGGCGACTAGGCCACCCTATATAATATTTGTGAGCAATGATCTAATGCAACGGTTGTATCATAATATAATGCAACGACACTTCTTGACAACCATGTTTGTGGTATTTGTATGACTCCAAATTTTACACATACACTCTCTTCATCTCAATAATCAATCTAAAAAAAAAAAAGGTTCAATTTGAACCCTAGCTATAGTCAAAATGAGTCATCTCCAAAAACGAATTTAGACCATTCATTTTGTGAATTTCAAGATTTTAGCCTTTATAAATTCAAAATCAATTTTTTTTTTTTTAATATTGTTCATCTAATGATAATAAAGTCATCCAAAGAAGTTAAAAATGAAAAAATCCTTCTAAGGGTTAGATCTAAACATCTCACCAAAATGAATGATCTATATTAATTGGGTTAAAAAAATAATTTCTAAGTTGTGTTTTCAAATTTTTCTTTTTTGTAATTGTTCATTAGAATAAAAAGATTGTATATTTCAAAATTTGGATTAAACAAATGGTCATAAGATGGTTTTTTAAGGTTGTTGTATCGTATTATTATATAACGGTTGCATGAAATCATTGCTCAATATTTGTGGTTCACAATTTTTTTTTTTTTACATTTCTAATTTTTTTTATGTGTGGTCAGGGCTTTGAAGTTATTATTGTACAATTGGTTGGACCCATTACCTGTTAGGGGGGATGCCAAATGGGTTTAATCGTAATTTCACTCAATTGTCCTAAATTTATAGAAAGGGCCCCTTGATTATCACAATCAGTTACTGTCAGTCGCTATAAGTCTGGGTGCTCTGAAATTATTTGTCGAAGAACAAAATGCCTGGCTGAAGCAGCAATTAAAGAGTTAATGGTCCAAACCACGCTAAGCTTACGCAGCTCTCCAGACTGGTCCCAAATTCAGAGATAATGGTTCGATGACACTGGAAGCCCCTAAATTACGCAGCTCTCCAGACTGGTCCCAAATTCAGCTCTCCATTTGAGGAGAACCCTAACTCCAAACCCTAGCTCGCCATTAAGGAGTTGGATTTTCAGGGTCCTGTTGGTTGAGAAGCTCTTCAAAACCTCAACTGGAGAATGGTGGGTGACTTCTGAAACCCTAATCTTTTGGGGTGTTACTAGCTTATTTCCAGGGACTTACCAAAAGGGCCCATTACCAGTTTGAGGAGATGAGAGACAAAGCCTCAGGATCCAAGGTTTATTGGATCTTCATCATCAGTGATTACACAGTCTACTTTGATCAAAATATCTTCAACCATGGGGCTGAGAGAAAAAAATCTTTTGGAAACAGAGAGGCAGAGGCCTAAGGATTTGATATCCTGAACCTTGTTAGAGAGAGTTAGTTTTGAGAGAGAGACGGTGAAGTGAGAGAGTTAGTTTTGAGAGAGGGCGAGTGATGCGAAAGAGAGAGGGAGAAAAAAAATTTGGATAGAGCGTCATGTTAGTATTTTTTTGGATAAAAAATTTAGGGTCAAAGGGACTCACGGGGTTGTTTTTTTGAATAAAAGAGTTAAGGTCAAAGAGGTCCAAAAAGTTATAAGGTAAAAAAAGGAAATTTTTTTGTTTATAAGTAATATTTTTAATTTTTAGAACTCATGAAATATAAAAGTTAAAAATAAAAAATAAAAAGATATTTTTCCTAAAAAATATCATATGTAATCACCCATGTTGGAGCAGATTGTACAATCTTGGGCGATTTAGGATATAGAAATTTTGTAGATGTAACCTGCTCAACTTAGCAACTAACTCAAACAAATGTGCCTAAAAATGACACTTTATGATTGCGTACCTATTTTCTTAAATACCCTTATGATGATTTTAAAGTGACCCTAAAATTTCAGAAAAAAAAATCTTCCAAGTCATTTGCACTAGAAACTAAATGAATCTTTTGCTTGAGCCTTATCATAGGGTGCAAGCTCTAATCTTTTCAAATCACGGTGTTCGTTTACAACACGAATTTTAGGTAAACTTGGCGAGGATTTTCCCCACCACTTGCATATATACCCTCTTTAAGAAATCTGAATTTCATTTGTTTTAAAATTTTGATTTCATTTATCCAGTTTAATTCTTCCTAAGTTCCTAAGTTTTGGGATTTATTAGCAAATATCAAAACGGATCCTCTTGCTAATATTGCACGGCGGAAAGAACATCCTTTATGACCTGTTTGTTGTACTAGTTTTGCATGCGTTATCCTCTTAAATTCATGATTCTTGACAAAGTTCCTCTTTTATTTATTTATTTATTTATGGGGGTTGGGGGGTGGGGGGTGGGGGAGGAGAGGAGGCAACATTAGGAAAGTTCTTGTTCATCATCCTTAATTTTTATTTTTGGGTGAATTAGTGGGGGAGAAAGTCCCCTACCTGTTTTTCATTGGTTAAATAAAAATAAATTATATCTCACTATTTTACAACCCTAGAATAGGACAATTGTCCAACATCATAAAGCAAAGGAAGTGAAATAAAATCCGGAGGCCTAGGGGGCTAAATAGAAGCCTTTGAAAAAATTGTAGCCTTTTGAAATGTACATCCCGCACCATATTAGCCTCGCTGTAAATGTGACAAATAGAGCATAAATGATTTGTGAGTCTAAATTGGCAATTAGCAGCTACGGTGTGAAGCATATATACAGATCTGCAATAGCCACGTATGACATGTACCAACAGGGAACAATCTCTTGCAATCTCTAATGGAAACAATCCATCTAGATAGCTAAGTCGATACCTGCTTCCAAGGTACGAAATTCTGCATAATTGTTATGTGACACCAAGAGGGAGGGATGGAAAATGCAATAAAGAAAGAACAACCATCCCTTCTCATGACACCCCCACAACCTGCTATTCCTAGATTCCAAAAGGAATACCCATCAATGTTTAGCTTGAAATGTCGAGGGTGAGGAAATGACCATACAATCAATATGGAGACTCAATTTTTTGTGCTCACCATGCTACTAGTAAATTTTTTGTTATTGCGTACTCTGATATGTGGTAGGACAATGCTTTAGCATGACCAGTGATCCTCCTAATAGCTCACGCTTGAATGCCTTTCTTAAAAAATATAGTGATTTTACTGGTTAGGTGCCTCAATCTCGCCCTCCGGATCCAGAAGATCTGGCCGCATGCGTCTCGGGTTTCAGGGGAACCTGGGACTTTGAGATCGCTCTCTCGGGAACCTCGCTCAAGAGCGAGGGTAGGCATACCAACCTATGAGAGAGGAATTTAAGGTAGGTTTAGGACTTACTCGGGCTGGCTCGCGTGGGTGCCCTCTTCGATCATGAAGATAGCCCCTCAGTCCTACAACTGGTTCGAAATGGCCTCCCTTAGCCTGTATTCTCCTGTTTCTGTAATCACATACACATGGTTAATTTTACAAGACAAGTGGGCTAAAGGACCCCACCTTGTCTTTAGGTGAATGTACACAAGGCGTGTACATTAAAAGGAGAAAAAAGAATAAATGATGAGACGAGGGTTGGGAGAAGGAAGAACTTCAAGGAAGAAGAAAAGAAAGAGACATTTGATCGGGTGACTAGCCTAGCACAATGGCAAGATTGGCATGATGATTGACTTGACATGATAGTAAGACGGGCACGGTAATGAGACCGGCACGGCGGCAATACTAGTCGACGACAGAACACCAACAACAACCAGCTAGATACAATAGAGAGTTCGACGTGGCAGCAAGACAGGCACGGTAACTTTGACCGGCATGGCGGCAGTACTACTCGACGACGAGAGTACCATGACAGTGCGAAACTTATCCCTTGGTCAAATGAGAGAGGAAAAAGAAGAAGAAAGAGGGAGATAAGAGATAAGAAAGGCAGAGAGAGAGAGAGAGAGAGAGAGAAGAAAAGAGAAATAGGCGAGAAGTAAAGGAAAAGAGAAGAAAGGCGAGAGAAGATAAATAAGAGAAAAAGGAAAAAGAAGAGAAGAGAGGGAAAGGAGAGAGACAACATGAATGAGAAATGAATGCCATGAGCAGCGATGAGCATTGCCGTGCACCACATGGGAAAGGGAAAATTTGTACAGAGGCCCGACCCGCCACTCAAGTTAATGCCCGGCTCACTGTGCATGTTTCCAGAGGATAAGTGAAGAATGAGAGTGTTACGCCTGACGATGGACATCGCTGTGCACAACTGGAGAGGAGAGAGAAAAGAAATCAGAGTGAAGGCAAGAAAGATAGGGAGGGGGAAAGAGGATTTTAAGAAAGAGGAAGAGGAAAAGAAAGTAGAGAGAGAAGAAAGGAAAGTGAGGGGAGAAATTGAGAAAGAGCCGGAGGAGAAAGAAGGAAAGAGAGAGAAAAAGATTAGGAAAGAGATAATAAGAATAAGAAAAGAGGAGATGAAAGGGGTACACATGGTGCTGCCACCGCCGTGGGTGTCAGAGAGAGAAGAAAAACATAAAGAGAGTTTCATGCACGGTGTTGCCATCGCCACACATGTTCAAACAGAGAGGGACAAAGAGAAAGATACAGTAGAGAGAAGAAAGTAGAGAAAGAGATTCGTGCATGGTGTTGCCATCGCTGTGTATGTTCAAACAGAGAGAAGTGGAGAGAAAGATAGAGGAGAGAGAATAAAGAATGAAGGAGAAGAGGAAGAAGAAGAAGAGAGAGAAGAAAACGCACACGGTGTTGCTATCACCATGTGTGTGAGATAGAGAAGAAGAGAGAGAAGAAAAAGCACACGGTGTTGCCATTGTTGTGTGTGTGAGATAGAGAAGAAGAGAGAGATAAAAATGCACACGGCATTACCATCGCCATGTGTGTTAGATAGAGAAGAAGAGAGAGAAGAAAACACACAACGTTGCCATCGCCGTGTGTGTGAGATAGAGAGGAAGAGAGAGAGAGAGAGAGGTTCATGCATGGCACTGCCATCGTCATGGACATTCAGTCAGAGAGGAATAGAGAGAAAGATTGAGAAGAAGAAGAAAGAGAGAGAATTAGACACACACAACGAGAATCAGACACACACAACGCTACCATCGCCGTGTGAGTTAGAGAAAGAGAAGAAATAAGATGACATGCACGGCTCTGCCACAGCCGTGCGTGTTCACAGAGAAGAAGAGAAAAGCTGAGAAAAGAAGAAAAAAGAAAAGAGAGAGGAAGCAAGAGAGAGAAAGAAAAAAAAAGGAGGAGACAAGAAGAAGGAGAAGAGAGGAGGAGAAAGAAAATTACTTTACCGAAGGGTACCAGCCTTTTCTTCTCTTTCCTCTCTCCCTCCAAGACGCACCCATGAACTCAAAGAAGAAACACAAACTTTATCGATCAATTGAAAGTTTGAGAGGAAATTAGGTCAGCCCTTTACAATTAGGTTTAACATGTACTTATAGAATTGGGCTGAAATATGGGTGGATGGCCCAAAACTATCTCAATTGATGATAATTACAATTATTTTGAATTAAAAGAAATTCTAAAAATGTGTGCAAAATGATTGTTTTCCCCCTGCCTAACAATACGTGGAATTCGAAAATAGTCCCTACTGTTGCCCTATAATGTGCGTGATCTTTCATGGATGATCCGACGTTGCTCTGGTGCCCGTTTGACCGAAAGATGATTGTTTTCTTATAGGGCTCTGCATGGTGATCGATTTGATACCAACTTCAATCCATGGATAGTGTTTTTAAAACACGATCATGCGACTTGAAATTTGGATGAGACTTGAAAACTTTGGATCTTTAGTGTGCTTGTTTCTTGATTTTTTTTGTGATTTTTTCACTAGATCACACTAAGCATGCTGTCATGATCGCGTGGCAACAAACGCAGCTCAATTTCGTTCCCAGACGAAGATTTCACAACTTTGGAGTTTTGATCAGAATTTGGAATTCCAGAGCTAGAATTTACAGTTACTTTATTGCCTTGGTGTGCGAAATCCAACTATCATCATGTACGGGGTTCAGAATAATGGTATCCCTAGACCTTATGCACACAATGGAAGTGGTCTCATGTCAATCCGATGCATGAGGGCCGTGATTCGGCCGCTTGAGCAAGGCATGTCTTTGCTGATTTTCTTGAAACTTTCTTCACGAATCGACAATTTCTCTCTAGCTTTTTTCCCCGCTCGAACGTTGTCACGGGGCGTGCCACATATCGAAATGCTTGTTGTGATGAGACAAACATGCTCACAAAATTTGAGCACGATCCGACTGGGGACGAATGAGATATGGACCCGAAAATCACTGCCCGAGACTGAAAAAACGGTTACATTTAATGGTGATTTGGTGCATGGAGGCCACATGGAAATAGTGTGTGGCCTACCCCTTTTTGGTGTTTTACCCATAACTGTCCTAGAGTGCCCGATTAAGCTGAAACTTGACCCATAAGGGTTTTCGACCGTGCCAGATCCAATGGTGGTGGTCCCACAACAATTTGATACATCA